TAGAACAATAGATGTTTGCGACTCTCATAGGTAGTCCTCAATGAGACCTTCAAAGTGGTGTAAGATAGTTGGGAGCAATAAGGTTACCGAGCTAATCAATACAAGATACATTGGTCTCATGAGATATAAATACTACTAGATTTAACCAGTTCAAGTCAATTTATCGAGTATCTTTCTATGACCAAATTGATATCCCTAACTATCTTATACCATTTTGAAGGTCTCATTAAGGACTAGCTATGATAGTCATGAACAACCATTATCCTAGTCTCGAGATATGTACGAAGTACTACGTCAAGAGAATTCCATATATGGAATTATCTACTTGATAAATGGTCTATATATCAATTGTCTGATGAGATTTTGAGCATATACTTTCATTAATTATCAAGAAAATCAGTAAATCTCACTTGTGATAGCTATTGGTTAGAATTTAACGTATTGATAATTGACATAGGGTCTCTATACATCTCCATTGCAAAAAAGTTACCTAACACGTCATAACTCAAAACTGCTGCATAAAGTAAGAGCAAGATACTGCATATTATAATAACAAAGATATATTTAAAATACGACTAAAAGAATGTCAAAAGGTTTGCCGTAGTGAACTTCATTGTCTTATATAAAGTACTTCGCAGCTTAAAGTCGGTTGGCCAATATTTGTTCTCATATACGTTGGTCCTTTGATGGGGTGTCCTACTATTTTGGGACATTAATTTTTTTGCGGTCTTATCAGAGTTCCTACAGATAGAATAAGAGATAAAAGAGATGAATAGTAAGAAAGGATGCTAGAGAGTTATGTCTATATTATTATATAACCAACATATCAACAGCATTACTTCTTGAAAATAAAATAAAGGGTTATACACAAATTTATGTCGGTATCCTATAAATATTGGTGCACTTTGTATTATTTTGTCACCTCTGCTAGTATGTATATATTTGTAAGTAGTACGATCTGATAGACAACAACACAAACGATTAACTCTTTTTTTCCGCTGATTCATTTTTTTGTTTTCAATAAAAATATTATTAGAACTCAAATGTATTGTCTTAGTTTTACAGCAACTTGTATACTTGAAAAGTGCAAAAGCAAAACTTGAAACATTACACGTATATTTATCGGAAACAAATAGAAATTTGAACAGTCGTCGATTGTAATCTATTATTTTTATCTGAATCAGAGAATTGAATAATTAATTAATATTTTATAAAAATTTAATAAGCAATCAAATATATAATAAACACAATGCAATGGTAAGAAGTAAAAATTGTAAAATAGACGAACAATTTATATCAATAAAATAACATTACTCAGTGTACAATCATTTTATGTTTTAGCATAATTTATGCATATATAAAAGAAATTCATATCATTTGTCATTAAATGACATGTGCATTTAATTATCAAATAAAATTCTAGATTTATCAAAGATTAATAAATTCGATTAAGGAAAAGAAAAATACAAGAAATTGAATCACAATTATTCTTTTCCTTCATAAGATTAAAAACATATCAAAGATAGGAAATATACATAATATCCAACTTATCAATTGCTTACTTTTTTTTTGCAATCTAGTAAGAGCTATAGGGAACAGTCTAACTCAATTAGACTAACTGTTTTTGTTTCTTCATGCATTGATAATAAAGAAAGAAAGCGAGACATCACGTTTCATGCCATTCTATTATTCTTATCAGACATTCTGCTGAACATTTCGATGCTTCTTTAAAAGAGATAATTAAATCACAAATATTATAATCTATTTCGAAAGAATAGATTGATATTATATAATAATTAAAAATAATTTTCCAAGATTCTACAATGTCTAATCATTAATTTACCTTTTTAAAACTATAACAATAGAATAACATTGAAATAAATATTCAAAAATTAGTAGCAACTTCATAAATCAACATTGTTCATTTTATGGTTTGTCAACTGCAATGAAAGACGATAGTTAGCACATGAAGAAAATAGTCACCATCAATCAATAACAAATAACCTATTATGGCAAATATGTCAACCGAATAAACTGAGTTTCTTGCATCAAACATGGACAGCTGAATCAACAAATAATTTAATACAAGTTGATCACCCTTTTTATCTTTAATATAAGACCTTTCTTGAAATGAAAAACAAAGAAAAGCAGCAAACTCTTTCTATTATCATAATCGATCATTCTGAACATGTAAAAAGAAAGAAAAATCTGTTCATTAACATTCAAATCTATTTGACAATTCTATCAATCAAAAGACTTGATCTATTCAAAATTCTACAACAACAAACAAGATGAATAATTTTACTAAATGTTCTTTTTTAGTTCTTTTTATCATCATCATCATGCATAAATTTTGATCTACTAAACAAAAACAAAAGAAAACAAATAAATGTTGTAAAGTATGCATAGGCAACAAAAAAACAAACAAATCAATTATAAGAAAAAGAATAATAATAATAATAATAATAATAATAATAAAGGCTTTGCACACATATATATATGCATAACATAAACACCGGCTTCTTCTTTTTGTGATCTGCACACAAAAAAAATAAAGACAAAAAAAAACAAAACACAAAAGGTACACCATTCATAGATTGTCTCTCGTTTTTTTTTTAAATATTAGGGATGCTCTCTTTTTCTTTTGCAAAAAAAGACTTATTCTCTGTGTTGCGTCATTCTCTATTATTAAAGCTGGAGTAGTTATTTGTTTTTAAGATGTAAAAACAAAAAAATTACATAGCACAAATGAAAAAAAAACAAAACAAAAAGAAGTAGATGTTAGAAAACAATAATATGAATGGAAGGTGTATGTTGCAAAAACAAAAGAGAAAACAAATGTGCGTTGTTTTGAATTTAGATTTTTGTTTTGAATATCTTGAAACAAGACAAGAGAAAGAAATGAATTATAAAAGAATGAGAATATGAATAGCCTGTTCTAAATAGATAGTTCGAGAAAAGTGAATATTATCAACATTCTCTCTGAGCAACTATGTACAACAACATCAAATAAGAAAACAACATTAATAAATCAGACGATGAAAATGAATAAAACCAGGAAAGATCACTTGTCTTTGTCAACATCATCATTGACAATATCTTGTTCATCGTCACTTTCTTCACTGTCACTTCGTTCGTCTCTTTTTACCTATAATTAAAAAAGAATAATATATTATATTTTATAGACACAAGTAATCCTTATTCTTTATTCGAATTGCTTCATCAATTCAAATCGTCTCATATTTCGATGACAATAAAGAAGAAAATAAGAGCAAATATAGACATAAACACACTCTTCTAACCAAACAGAAAAGGTATACATACATACACACACACGCACACGTATTCTCTTATTGGGTTCTAAATATATACTGAAATGCAATACTACTGGCTTTAGTGATGATTTTAAAAGAAATAAAAGAAAACTGATCATACTTTGCCGGCTTTGAAAGCTGAAATGGCCACTTGACAAATTAGATAGAACCAAAAATAGTGAAGAATTTGAAGAAGTATTAAAAGTCCATTGAACACATAATAAGCAGGAAATAATCCAAGAATAATTAGTTCTTCAAACGTCGTCGTATACAATACTCTATATTTAATAAGAAAATGGTTAAGATAATGTACAAAACAATGAAATGTAATCTATTGTTTACTTATAAGGATAAAAGCACAGACGTGTTATAAACCAAACAACGGCAAATATCACGAACGTTGTATCACAGAGTCGCTGCGCTCGCGCATACTTAGCCATTTTGGCACCCTATAAAACAGCATAAATTCTATTAATATCAAATAAAAAATAGAATGATTATATAATTACTTCAAGCCAATAATCTCCAGAATCATGTACAACAAGTACTAATGTTCCAACGCGTACAAAATTGACAATATAAGAAAATGAAAGTAATGATATTGTCGCAATATGATGAAGAAACATTTCCCAAAAATCTTTTCGTTTAACATCAATAAATTGTGAAAAGATTAATGACCAATAAAAAGCAAGTTCAATCATATAATACCAATAAATATCATTTGTTAATTCATGATTTGGATAATTTAACCAACAATGACGTGTATCCCATAACCAAATTTTCTTAATAAAAAAACAAAAAAATAAAATCTATAATTTATTTTTCAAAATACTTCTTTGTCTTATTTTTTTTTTTTTATAGTAATTTACATTTTTTAAAATAAGAAGCCCATATAAAAATATACTAAGATAAAATGTAAAACGCCATGTTGATTCACTAAATTTAGCTAATGGACTAATACGTGTACAACGATGTTTGTTTTTATCATTATCACGTGATTTTCTATGATTTAATAATTTTCGATCATTTCGTTGTATATTTGATTGATAATCACGTATACCAAGTAATCGACCAAGTGGTTGAGCAATATATGATTCAAATAAGAAACGTGTTAAATAAAGTAAACCAGCTAATGGATAAACATAAAAAAGATCTTGAATATTCGGTAGACGAATACCATTTTGTTCAAGTTGCTTAAAATCTTTCCAAGTTATATTTTGAGGTAACCAAAATTCATCAGTCCAAATTGATAGATTCATTTTGTTTTGTTTTTTTGTTTTAAATAAGAACAACACTACATAATGAAAGCATATATGCTATATATATATATATATAGTTCTTAAATCATGATCTAAATTAAAATGAATGTTTCAATATTTGTCATTCGTCAATAGACACAATTACTTGAATAGATACATAGAAGACAAAACGAAAACGAGTTAAGAATATATAGATAGAAAAAAAGATGAAACCTAGTTATTTATTTATTTAGTTGTCTTCTCTCTTCTCCTTTTTTTCTATCTATTCTCAATTTAGTGTTACTGTTTGCTTTTCTTTCTCTTTTCTTCTTTTCCTTCATCGTCAGCATAAATGACGAATCGGAGAAAATTTTAGATGTCATTAGTTGTCATATTTTTCTGAGAGGCGGATGTTTTATATAGTTCTTTATTTAATAGATGAGTAAGTTTAAATTTGTTCAGCTGATTTACATAAATTATTCAACCATAAACCTTCAAATAAACGATTTTGCTTTTTAAAATAATATCGACCATAACCATGTTTATTATCTTCAAACCAATTTCTATTTATGAAAAAAAAAAACCAAGAAGATTAAATGAGAAAATTTATATTTAATATTCACCCTTCATAACGATTACCATTCACTATTGAAAATAATTTATATAAATTAAATATTTGGAATTTTATTTGATGTATTCTACCTGTAAGCAATAGACCAAGACCATGTCGTTTATTGTTTAACCATTCACCTTCACTTTTTAAATTCAATGACGAAAAAAAAAACATGAAGTAGACAGTATTTTGTAGGATACTTTTTCATAAGATTTCTTTGTTACCCATACTTAAGATGTATTTAATTTTACAGTATATCAAAATAGTTCATTGCTTTATTAATGACATATTTTTCAATGTTTTTATCAGTAATTTTTTCTTTTCCTTCCGTTTTTGTACATCTGTCGAGTATGGACTTTTATATGCATCTATTAATTCTATCTTTGCAAACGGTGAAATAATAGATCATATGAGCTTTGTAAAGTGTGATATATTTATAAAAATGTTGAGAAAAGAAATCTATTTTATGATCAATTAATGACTAATTGGATTTCAATATTATCTGAAGACAATCAATGTTCATAGTGGCAAGAAATTGTTTGCATTAGCATGAAAGTTTTTGTTTTTATTTTCGATCGTTTCGTGATAATAAGATTAACTGATGCTATTATCTTGATACTCAGACATGTGGAAAATAAATCTTAGTCAGTGTTTTGTCCAGTATGAAGGGAGCAGTGCTCTTCCGAAGATTACGCTCTCCTGCCCGAAATTTGTGATTATTGTACTAAGTATGTGTTGTGTGTGCTTCTAAAAATAGACATTTATCCTCTTTGAGCTTTAAATTGCCTCTCTGGAAAAGAATATTTGGCTAAAATATTGATCTTAGTGTCAGTTCACTATAGATGGCAACAACAAAAAAAGAGAAATAACAGTCACGCACATTTATATATATATATATATATATTGAAATTGAAGAAAGATAAAGAAAATATAACTTACTACATATCTCCATTTTCATAATACATTCGTCCCCATCCAGATCGTTTATTATTTAGAAATTCTCCTTGATAATATGATAAATGATTTAAATATAATGTTCCATAACCATTCATTTGATCATTTTTCCACTGACCAACATAATATCGTTGCATAGATTGATTATTTAAATTAATAGTTAATCTTCCATAACCATGTTTTTTATTTTGAAAAAATTCACCTTCATACAAATATCCATGTAATTTATTTATAAGTTTTCCATAACCATGTTTTTGATAATGCAACCATTCACCATGATATATATCATTATTATTTGAATAGATATTTACATATAAATAAGATTTTTCGATATGTTGATTGAAATTCTTTTTTAATGAATATTTTATTTGATTATGACAAAAAGGCATTGTTATTGTTATTATTATTATTTATAGATTTATGGCGGGTACATTAATTTTAGGTAAAAATGAATTTAAATTACTTGATCAAATTGGTTCTGGTACATATGCGAAAGTTTATAAAGCTATTGATTATCAACATCAACGAGAAGTTGCTATTAAATGTATGTTATTGGATAGTGAACGTTATGGTCTTCTTTGTGTTGTTATACGTGAAATAAATCTTTTACTTGAATTAAAACATCCAAATATTGTTCATTTATATGATATTATACGACGTGAAAATGAAATTTATTTAATATTTGAATATATGAATACAGATCTATATCAATATATGTTACATAATCATCGACCATTACCAGATATTCAAGTTAAAGTTTATTTTTATCAATTATTAAATGGTTTAGATTATTGTCATATGAATAAAAGTTCGTTTCATATTAATAGAAAAACAAAAAGAAACTTTTAATTATGTTTTTCTTTTTCTAGTTTTTCATCGAGATCTCAAGTAAGTGAAAAAAAACTATTAATAAGCAAAGTCTCGTATTAGAACGAAATAAAATAACAGTATGAAGTAATTTGTCTCGGAAAAAAAAAATATCTATGATGAAGTTTTTCTATTAGAAGAGCTAATTTCCCAAAGGATCTTACCGTTCTATTTGCGTGATGAATGTTATTGATAAAAGATTATAAAATGTGGTTTATGATAGTGGAAAAAAAGGCTTATGATATGATATTTCCGAGTAGGGCATAAAATGATCACTGAGATGAAAAACTTGACTTAAAAAGACAAACCTTAGAAATAAAAGATTCTAAACTAGCAAAAAAAACTAACATTGAAAATATTTTCATAGAAAAGAATGATGAAATAATTGAAGTCTATGATTTACAGTTTCTTTTAGCCTAATAAATGGTGATTTCTGAAAAGATTTTAAACTCTAAAGAAGTAGTCAATTTGGTTCATCCATAGTTAAGAATTGCTATCCCAGAAAGATTAAGTTGATCGTGAAAAAATGGAATTCGACGAGCATCGTTCAAGTTTTACACAAAATTTTTCTACTTATATACTAACGAGGGAAGTACTTATTTGAGGTGTTAAGTTCCATTTGAATTCATTCATACGTTCTTCGATAGATTATATTATGTAAGAAAAAGCTATACAGTTCAGGTTCATGTTCTGCTAGCGAAGAGTTAAGATCTTTGCACTGAAATTTTGCCTACGAAGAGATTTAATAATCATGAGATAGTTCCAAAAGTTTCAATAAAACCGCATATGTCTGTCTCGAAATATTCAATATCCAAGTAGATTCAGTGACTGTATCCTGCTGTTGTTAAACCGTTGTTTTTTTGTTTTGGAAATTGAATATCTCGAGAAAGATAGGCGGATTTCCGTTGAAGCTTTCAAGAATATCTAATGGTTATTGAATCTATTCAAAGACAAAACTTCAGTTTTAGCCATTTTCAGTAATAAATAACCCTCAAGTTAAAATTTCAGTACAACAGCCATAACCTATTCGTCATTAGATTACGATCCTAAAATCAATTTGAATTAAGTAATAAAAGAAAATAAGAATCTAAAAAAAATATTTTTCTTTTATCAATAGTAGATTGTGGAAATCTTTCCATTAATCTATCATATTTTCTTAAAATATTTTGTATTATTCTATTGTTAATTCTAATTTAATCTTCTCTTTTTTCTATTAGACCTCAAAATTTATTACTAGACACCAAGGGTACATTAAAAATAGCAGATTTTGGTCTTGCTCGTGATGCAACTATACATAAACGTGCTTATTCAAGAGATATCGTTACTTTATGGTATCGACCGCCTGAAGTATTACTTGGAATTGATATCTATTCAAGTGCTGTTGATATATGTACATATTTTTTTCTTTTTGTTCGTTTAATCAATCTATTCCCTTATTATAGGGAGTGCTGGTTGTATATTTGCTGAAATGTTACGTAATTCGTCTTTATTTAAAGGTGATTGTGAAATATCGCAATTATTTTGTATTTTTCAAGTTCTAGGTAAATATTTACATCATATGAATAACTAAATATTGATAAAGTAGTGGACAAGCCTCTCCTGTTGGTCTACGACACAAGATTACCTCGATTGTCTAAATTGAACGAGAATTATGATGGATCGCACCTATTTATTCTTGTAACTTCATAACTGTGAAAAAGAAGAACTTTGTGGATGAACTCATTCTTCATATTGGTTATCTGTCGTACTAATTTCATCGAAGGTCATTAGCCTTTTCCAGAATTGTAGTGCATTTTTCATGATCATTCGAGTGGGAAAAAACCTATCTGTTGACTGTTGAAGACCATAACTCAGTAATAGTTCAATAAGTCGAGCTAAAACTGAAAGATACTTCGGTTACATGAAAATGCCACCTGAGCACAGACATACAGAGACAGCAATCTTCAATTAAATAATCTAGTCGTTTGACTAAAAGAATAGCATAGACTAGGCTCTATCTGTATGCGAAATTATCAAGAGTTAGTCATATAATTGATAACTGCTAATCAAAAAGTTTAGTAGACTGTTGTCTTTCAGACTAAAAGTTCGAAGCAAAGATAGATGCCGTTCATCATAAATATTTTTCGACATGCAGCATGTAGAGAGTAGCCGAGATAGGCGGAAGGCAGACTTTTGTTCGTTATCGTAATTCGTCATTTTTAAGGTACACCAAATGAAAAATCATGGCCTGGTGTTTCGTTATTACCTAATTATAATTCTGATTTTCCACAATGGCAACCAACATCATCACTTAATAAATATGTTCATTTAACAAATGATAAAGCTCAAGATATATTAATACGTTGTTTATCTTATCTACCTGAACAACGTTTAACAGCTAAACAAGCTTTACAACATTCTTATTTCATACAAGAAGATGAACATATTTCATTATCATAGTATCTAACCCGGTGTTTTGTTTTGTTTTGTTTTTTGAAATAAATCTGTGCTAATTTTTGTATAGATATCGGCATTTTTCAAAAAGTTCTAAGGTTGATTTTATTTAGAAATAACAAGAAGTACTGCCGTACTAGTATTATTATTTCTGTGTAGTTCATATAGTCGTTAATCTATAGACCTAATGAGCTTAGGTCCATTAAGCATATATTGTTTTGAATGGTGAATTCTCATCCAATACTTATGAACATATGGTGACAGACTATAGTGACAGTGTTCTATGATGTACTATTATGCTTGGACGGGCTCGTCGTTGTAAATATCATAAATGAAAATGTGTTATGTTTTATATATTCGAATAGACATTGTTTATATATATATAATTTGAATGATACTGCAATTCGATTCTACTACATAATAAAAATTTTGAAAATCATTTCATTTGGAAAAAACAATCAGATATATTTGTTCTATAAGATACGAGGCTACATGTTTTTCACCAATCCATTCAACCGTCTTCTTATCTATGTCCCACTTCACTACATGAGAAATGGTTCTTCTTATTTTATTGCTGTTTATATATAAAAATTTAGACTACACAAAATTTAGGATTCTCTATCAGAAAAGTTTAACTCAAAACTTCAATAGACATTTCTTAAAAGAATATTGTTGAAAATAGTATGAACAATTGTCTGACGTCAAGAGGAAATTTTTTTTAGCATAAAACTTCTAATCAATGCATGAACTACGAGAATGACATTCGGCAAAGATGGATCACAGTTAGACATCGGCGTAACCAATAATTTTTGGTCATGCTCACGTCACGGTTATGATTTTCTTTTCCAAAAATTGGTCACTGTGCACGGTCACGACAGTCACGTCGATGTTTAATCATAGTATCAGTTAGAATCCACTAAACCGACTTGAAATAACAGGCAGCATAGTTTAATTTCCCGATCTTCTTCGATTATAATCAATGTTTAACGCATGAAGTTTAATTGTATTGCACGAATAGAATCGAACAAAATCGACCTAAATGCAGCAAATAACAACAAGGTAAGAGTGACGCATTGTTTACACGTGGTTCGTTTCTTCTCACCTGGTTCTTTCCTCATTTTCGTATGTGATATGTCCCACGATCCTCATGACACATCGATTGAAGTTGCTTCACCTTTGGGAGCAAACCTGTCTTCCTCATGATTGCTCCCGTCGAATAGATTTTTCCCTACGTTATGTATTTTTCTACATGACTCAAAATTGTCATAAAGGAGATAACCCATTTCAACACATACTCATCNTACTATAAGTATTGTATCTACGTAGCGCCTCTAAAATTAGGGGGGAGAAAGTTATTGTTATTGTTATTGTGATTAATAACAATAAAATTAACTTTTTGATTCAAAACAATCAATGAAACAAATCTAAGCATAATTTGTACGCACGTCAAAGAACCACTTTAGTAATACAGTATCTTTTCTTACCATTTGATATAAGAACTTGGGGTAAATATTTTGAGAAATTTTAACATAACGTATTTTATTATTGTCATTGCTAAATAAGTGTAACAATAACAATATCAATAACAAAATATATTATGTTAGTATTTCTCAAAATATTTACCGCAAGTTCTTATATCAAATGTTAAGAAAAGATACTGTATTCATAAAATGATCTTTTGACGTTCGTACAAACTATGCTTAGATTTGCTTCATTGATTATTTTGAATCAAAAAGTTAATTTTATTGTTATTAATAACAATAACTTTCTCACCCCTATCTAAAATATCTCTTGTGGCTAAAAAATATGGTGGGTTAGTCATTTATATTATGGAACT